AGAAAGACTCTCTCTTTATCTAAAGCTCTAACAGTTTTTTGAGAATGATTTGCAATCTGTTTGTTGCTTATCTATTTCCAGTGCCCTGAAATGGGTGTTTTTGATCATTTTATTTAGTTTGTGTCTGTGTGTGTACGTTTGCTGTGTATGTTGAGAGTGTATACAGACCTCTTTACAAAGCCACAGCCAGAAGTCTCTGCCTCTGTTTACATTTTGATGTACACTTTAATGCAGTTCTACTTACTCTGCAGTTCATTTTTCATGTTTACATATATGTAAATATAAACAGTAGTATTTTCTGTGTCCTAAAAATGCAAGTTATTTTTTCCTTAATGCTGTTTTTTAAAATTAACCTTCTCTTTATTTAAAAAGTCTGGTCCTTTTATTTTATTTTATTTTAGCCACGCTGCATGGCTTGCGAGATCTCAGTTCCCCGACCAGGGATTGAACCCGGGCCATGGCAGTAAAGCCTGGAATCCTAACCACTAGGCCAGCAGGAACTCCCCAAATCTAGCCCTTTTAAACATTACAAAATTCGATCTAGTTAATATACCAAATTTTCCTTTCATTTATTGATAAGGTTGTTTCTAATTTTTCACAATTACAAATACTGCCACAGTGAACATCCTTATACATGTTTCCTTTTCAATTTTACTAGATATATCAAATTGGTCCCCCAATTTCATATCAGTTTACATTAGCACTCCCACCAGCTATGAATGAGCAGACCTGTTTACCCACTGTCTGGCAAAAGCTAGATATTTTCAAATTTTTAAAATTTTTACATAGGATGGGTGAAAGCTTGATCTCATTACAGTTTTAAAATATATATAGCTGTAAGATGTGTGACATCCTGCCAAATTGCCCTTCAGGGAGTTTGTAATCAAATTGTTCTCATCAATCACAAATGTTACCCTTTTTAAAATGTTGACAATTTGATAGAAGAAAATTGGCATCTTTGCTGTTATATATTATTTCTTGATTATTGTAAAGTAAATGTAAATTTTAGCTCTTACATTTAGGACAATGATTCATTTTGAGTTAATGTTTATGGACAATATGAGAGTGTTTTGGGGGGTTTTTTGGCGGGTGGATACCAATTGTTCCAATATTATCTGCTGAAAAGACTATCATTTACACATTGAATTGCTTTTGCACCTTTGTCAAAAATTAATTGGCCATTAATTAATTAAGTCTATTTCTAGACTCTCCTTGTGTTCCAGTGATTCTGATTTCTGTCTATCTCTTCACCAATACCACTCTTGCTAATTGCTGCTTTAGAGGAAGTCTTAAAATCAAGTGGTGTGATTTTCTCCAACTGTACTATTTTTAAAAATTGCTTTAGCTTCTTGGTTTCTTTGCTTTTCCATATAAATTTTAGAGTCGGCTTGTCTATATTTACAAAAATTGCTGCTGGGATTTTGATCATAATTGCATTAAATCCATTGACTGATTTGGGAAGAACTGACCTCCTTACTATATTGAGTCTTCCAATCCAAGAACACAGTGTGTCTCCATTTATTTAGGTCATCTCTGACCTCTTTGATCAGGATTTTGTAGTTTTCAGGACATAGATCCTGTATATATTTTGTTAGATTTATACCTAAGTGTTTCACTTGGGAGGATATCTTTAAAAATTTTGGTTTCCAGTTGTACCTTGCTAATATAGAAATATGACTTGTTTTTGTGTGTTGATCTCGTACCCTATGACCTTGCGAAGCTTAAACTCACTTACTAGATCTAGGAGATTTGTAGATTCCCCGGAATTCTAGATTCCTTGGCCAGTCATGTTATCTACAAATAGAGACCATTTTATTTCTTCTAAGCTGTATGTCTTTTTCTTGCCTATTACACTGGCTAAGACTTCCAGTACTATGTTGAGTAAGAGTAGCGAGTGAACATCTTCCCCTTGTTCTTAATCTTAAGAGGAAAGCATTCACTCTTACCGTTAAACATGATGTGAGCTGTAGGTTTTTTGTACAGGCCTTTTGTCAGATTGAGGAAGTTCCCCTTCCATCATGAAAGGATGTTAAATTCCGTCACATGCTTTTTCTGCATCAATTGGCAAGATTCAGGTTTGAATACTGAACCAGCCTGACATTCTCAAGGAAAAAACCTCACTTGATCATGGTGTATTATTCTTTTTTTATATATTGCTATATATTTTGTTGAGGATTTTTTACATCTATGTGCATGAAAGGTATTGGTCTATAGTTGGTTTTTTTGTTTTGGTTTTGTCTTTTCTTCCAGTGTCTTTGCCTGATTTTGTTATCAGGGTGATGCTGGCCTCATAAGATGAGTTGAGAAGTAATCCCTCTTCCTCAATTTTATGAAAAGATTATGTAGGATGGGTGTTATTTCTTCTTTAAATGTTAAGTAGAATTACCCAGTGAAATCATCTGGGCTTGGAGATTTCCTTCTCAGAAAGTTAAATACAAATCCTTTTTTTCTTTTTTAATAATTAGGGTCTATTTGGGTTATCTGTTCATCTTGGTTGAGTTTGTTTTTTATTTTATTTATGGTATTTCATGACAGGCACCAGTCTTAGGTCTTTTTATAATTAAACCTATCAATCTCTTCTTTTCTGGTATATCTTTTGTGCTCAGAGAGTTCTTTCCTCCAATTTTTAACTTCAGTACACTTCATTCCAGTACTGTACTTTCTTCTGGCTAATTTATATTTTTTAGTTTTGATGTAAAAAATATTAATCCATCTGGAATTCAGTGGATGCTAGGAGGTGACAATCCAGATTTTCCTTAAAGTTAAAAATTAGTATCCAAGAAAAGAATAAGGTGGCCTTGGAATCTCCTAACTCTATAATCATAAACTTTTTCTCATAAAAAACAAATTTTACATATTCACAAATAGATTAAATTTCTTAATAACCATAACTAATTTTTTTTGTATTTTTTGTAATAGATCTTTATTGGAGTGTAATTGCTTCACAATACTGCACTAGCCTCTGTCACACAACAAAGTGAATCAGCCACATGCACACATACAACCCCACATCCCCTCCCCGCTGAGCCTCCCTCCCACACTCCCCATCCCACCTCTCTAGGTATAGCAAAGCACTGAGCTGATCTCCCTGTGCTATGCTGCTGCTCCCCACTAGCTAACTGTTTTACATTTGGTAGTGTATATGTGTCGATGCTATTCTCACTTCGCTCCAGCTTCCCCCTCCCCGCCAGGTCCTTCAGTGCACTCTCTATGTCGACATCTTTATTCCTGCCCTGACACTACGTTCATCAGAATGAATCCAAAAATCCATTCATGGAATTTTTTTAGATTCCATATATATGTGTTAGCATATGGTATTTGTTTTTCTCTTTGACTTACTTCACTTTCTATGACAGATTCTAGGTCCATCCACCTCACTACAAATAACTCAATTTCATTTCTTTTTATGGCTAATATTCCACTGCATATATGTGCCACATCTTCTTTATCCATTCATCTGTCTATGGACATGTAAGTTGGTTCCATGCCCTGGCTATTGTAAATAGACCTGCAATGAACATTGTGGTACATGACTCTTTTTGAATTATGCTTTTCTCAGGGCGTATGCCCAGTAGTGGGATTGCTGGGTCATATGGTAGTTCTATTTTTAGTTTTTTAAGGAACCTCCATACTGTTCTCCATAGTGGTTGTATCAATTTACATTCCCACCAATTTTTAAAAAATCAAATATATAGATGGAGCACAAATACTGTGAGTATACACAAGGACATTTTTTAAATGAGCAAGATGATTAGCTAGAAAACACAGAATAAGAAGCTTCAATTAACATTCATGCTAAAGTAAACAATATTCAAAATATCCAAATAACTTCTGAAAACTAAAAAACAAAAGTTTATTTAATAACATGGGGAAATACAAGAGTGGAAAAAAGTAGGACACAAAACTTTCCCTATAATATCCTCCCTCCTTCTCTCTCTCTCTCCCTCTCTCTCACACACACACACACACATATATACACACACACACACACACACACTTTTCCTCTCTCTCTCTTTTTCTCATATATGACTGGAAAATAATGTCCACCAAAATGGATTACTTTTATAAGCAGAGAAGATCAACATTTAAAAAATATTTAAGTTACATTCTTTACAAATCCCGAACTCCTCCTGATAAACCACTGAATACAATTAGTGTCCATTAAGTGGATCAAGCCAGGTGAGCATGGGACAGTGTCCTCCCTTACCAGTTCCTTTGCGTCTCTCCCAAAGCTACCCACTTTGAAAAGGATGACTCTGCCTAAGGAAGGACTACTGTTGGATGAGTTCATGACTTGGCTTTCCTCTAGAATCCCCAGTACCTCACTTTTGAATAGAAATCAAGAAAATTCTAGCTGCTACAAACATTCTCTCTTATAAGTCCAGGAGGTTGAGAGTGGAGGAAGGTGAGGAGAGGAGCCAATGTTTTTCTCTTTTATCACTGGATCTCCTCACTAACTGAGACACCTCAGGTCACATTCATAGCATGTAGGATTTCTACTCTTTATGCAGGTGAGTTTTGCTGAGACTCTAAGGGAATAAAGGAAATGGAAATCAGTTGATCTTACTGGTTTTTTTTTTTTTTTTTTTTTTTTGGGGGGGGGGCCTCTTCTTTTTGTGGCCTCTCCCGTTGCAGAGCACAGGCTCCGGACGCGCAGGCCTAGCGGCCATGGCTCACGGGCCCAGCCGCTCCGCGGCATGTGGGATCTTCCCGGACCGGGGCATGAACCCGCGTCCCCTGCATCGGCAGGCGGACTCTCAACCACTGCACCACCAGGGAAGCCCGCCAATCTTACTGGTTTTGATGTTCCAACTAATTTGGGGAGATATGATTGTGCCTAATTTCCTACAAAATGGTATCCAGTCTTATCTTTCCATCACAGACATGAATAGCTACTTATAATCTGTCCATATTGATAGATAGACCATTCCATTTGCCAATGTGCTTCCCTCCTGTGACCAGGAAATGTTAATATTTGCAAAACCACCTCTTCTACTTACCCCTGTGTTGGGCCTCTTCAGACATGGCATAAGCCTTGGTTAGTAACGTGCTCGCCTCTGCAGCTTGGGGGCTGACTTCAGTGAACAAAGAAACACAGATAGAATAGGCCTGGAATAGAGAAAATCACGACAAGGTAAGTACCCAAATGACAGTGTTTCACTGTGGATTTTATAGTAGCTCTCATAGAATTGTTAGTTGACTGAAAGCTGATATGTATATAATCATAGAGTTATGCGAGAGATGAGTTTGAGTCCCAGCTCTGCTACTTCCTAGCTGTGAGCCTTGAGCAAGTATTTTACCTTGCTAGCTGTGAGCCTTGAGCAAGTATGAATTTTACCTTCATATGTAGAAGGAATATTTAGTTTCCATTGATTAGGGTTTGGGAAAGATTAAATGAGATGGTGCATGTAAAACACTGGGCACAGTACCCTTCACATGGTAAATTCTCAGTAAATGTTAGCTATGATTACTTTTATTATATTTCATAGCAAAAATAAAGTCATAACTTTAGCTCAGCCTCTCAAAGGCTCAGTATCAAAAAAAAGTCTAGGGTTCCCTGGTGGCGCAGGGAACACACAGGCTCTGCATTTGTCAAATTACTTACGTACAAGCAAAACACACTTATGGTGGTTTAACCATAAACTTTGAGATACAATCAGCTAGACTAGTTTAAAGGACAAATGACGACATTGCACCAAAATATCATAAATTTTCATTTAAAAAGTCCTTTGTGGGCTTCCC